CCCGTGCCATGAATTGATGCTGCATCATACCAGGCAGTGTACAGATGCGAGCTGCAAAATGCTGTAAATATGAGCCATTTTGCGGCAAATACTACGCGGCTTCAAGATTCTAACAGCAAACGACCAACATATTCTACACAGATACTTTCACACAGAGGTGCTTTCACAAAGACACATTGTTTTCACAAGACATTTGCACATACACATGCTTTTACCCAGAGATGGTTTTACACACACCAGTACCTTCACGCACAGGTGTTTTTACATAGGGATACTTTTACACAAAAGAGTTTTACAAACAGACACGCGGGTACTTCTACACACAGATGCCTTCACACAGCGATGCTTTTACAAAGGAATGCTTTTACACGCACGTGCTTTTGCACAGAGCTTCTTTTGACACAAAGCAGCGTTTACACACAGAAGCCTTTACAATAAATACTCTTACGCAGAGATGTTTTTACACAGAAATACATTGGTACAAGCAAATCAAAAGCATTTTTTACACACAGATACTTTTGCAAAGAGATATTCTTGCACGGATACTTTACAGAGAGATGCTTTTACACAGGTGCTTGTAGACTAGGAGGCATCTAGGCAAAGGTACTTTTACATGGGTGAGGCTAGAAACACGATTTAGGGGAAGGTTCAAGCCATTTTGCAATCAGGCTTCCACCTTTTTTTTTTTACGGAGAGATGCTTTTAAATACAAGTGCTTCTGTAGAGGATTATGGAGGGAGGGGCCTTCACACAGAGATGGTTTTACGCAGAGAGATGATTTTAGAAAGGGATGCTTCTACATACAGGGGCGCTTACATAGAGATACTTTCAACACAGAGATGCTTTTACACACGGGCGTTTTAAGATACAAATACTTTTTTGCATAGAGATGATTTTGCCAAGAGAAACTTTTCGACGCAGGCGGATTTACTGTGTGCTAAGAGAAACTTTTCGACGCAGGCGGATTTACACACAGTTGCCTTTACACAGATGCTTTTACACTGGTGTTTTTACACACCAATACGTCTACACAGTGCTTTTACGCCCACATTCTTTTACACACAGATTCCTCTACACGTAAGCACTTTTACACAGAAACACTTTGACACACAGTGGCAGGCGCGTTTACATGCAAATACTTTTACACACTGATATTTGTTTTGCTCACGTTTTCTTTTACATACACGCGTGCTCTTTCACAGGGGCTTTTAATCACACATGCTTTGACACAGAGATATTTTTTTTACATAGAGACACCTTTACACAGAGATGCTTTTGCACAGGGATGCTTCCACACACAGTCGCACACAGAAATGATTTTTTACACACTAATACGTTTACAGAGAGATGCTTTTACATTGAACAATTTTACACACCGAGGCCCAAACAAAAACATGCGTTTTTACAAAGGAATGCATTTGCACTGGGAGCTTTTACCTGATGGGCATTTTTACACAGACATATTACTGCGTGATTTCCGATGACGGACATGCATATGGCGCAAGAGAGTTCAGCAAGCATATGCAAAATCACAGTTTCACCACAGCTTTTGACGTTCGAGACGCATTTCGTGGGAAAGGGTTGGCCCAGCACAAGCCCACATTGCAATTTTACCTCAACAAATGACGATCGACATTTCGTGCGAGAGGGTTGCGTTTCGAGGACATCAATCAATCAAGATTGTAGTTGTCTTCAAGAAATTGATCTTCGCTTTCGTATTTACATCTGCCGCTTTACACTTGTGTATACCCACTTCCCCGTGTTTTTTAACCAGTAGCACCGCGCAAGGCGGTGGCGGAAGTTTCAAAAATAGGAAACCTATAGGCAGGGTTGGTTGTTGTGACTCACGGATGGCAGAGCGAATCCACTGATGGACCGAAAGGTGGTTGGAGTTGTGTTTTCAGGAGTGGTTGCTTTGGTTGCAGTGGTCACCTCGCCACAACTGCTGGATGTAGTGTGGTGTAGTGCAGTTGGAGGTGCAGTTGCAGTTGTAGGTGTAGTTGTAGTTGTAGTGTAGTGGAGTTGTAGTTGTAAGTTGTAGTTGTAATGTAGTGTACTTATATAGTATTTATATAGTGTAGTGTAGTTGCAGTTGCAGTTGTAGTTTTGGTGTGGTTTAATTAGTGTAGTGTATTGTCGTTAGTGTAGTCTAGGGTGTAGTGTAGTGTAAAGTAGTGTAGTTGTAGTTGTAGTGTAGTGACGTAGTGCAATGTAGTGGTAGTTGCAGTTGTAGCGTAATGTAATGTAATTAGTGTAGTGTAGTGTAGTGTAATGTAGTGTAGTTGTAGTTGTATTTGTAGCTGTAACGTGCTGCAGTTTAATGAGTGTATTGTAGTGTAGTGTAGCTGTGATTGTAGTTGTAGCTGTGGTGGTGGTAGTGGTGGTAGTAGTAGTAATAGTAGTAGTAGTAGTAGCAGCAGCAGTAGGAGTAATAGTTGCTGTTGTAGTAGTTGTAATGTAATTAGTGTAGTGTAGCGCAATTAGATGTAATTAGTGTAGCGTAATTAGATGTAATTAGTGTAGTGTAGTGTAATTAGTGTTGTGTAATGTAGCGTAGTATATTTGTACTTGTAGTAGTGGTGTAGTGTAGTGGTACTTGTAGTCGTTGTTGCAGTTGTAGTGGTCTATTTATCTATCTGTCTATTTGCAAGCTTGAAAACGAAGCTATTCTGCGAGACTTCCTCAGTTTTTGAACTTGGTTGGCAACATCAAAAACGCAGCAATTCTGCGAGACTTCCTGAATTTTTGAACTTGACAACGTCAAAAACGAAACAATTCTGCGAGACTTCCTCATTTTTCGAAGTTGACAACATCAAAAACGAAGCAATTCTGCGAGACTTCCTTCAAAAATGGAAGGTTGAGTGCAGAGCTGACGGCCTCGTACCAATGGGTTTTGCGATTTTTCCACTCCACCTGTCTAAAATATTGCGCCTGCCACGAAAAAGTGATGCCAGGTCATACGAAGTGCTGCGCCTGTCACGCAAAATCATCTCAGCAAACCTGAAGATCTGATGCTCCAAAATGCAACCCCTCTCAGGAAATCAGCGCCCGGACCTCCTAACAGCTCTGATGAACATGTCTCTTGCTTGTCGTGCGCCTGCCACGGAAAATGCATCTTTGCAGATCCTCTTCAAATGTCCCACGCCTGCCATGGTTTTTCGAAATGCCACAAAACCCTCACGTTTTGCTCACTTTTGACAAGGTGCATAATCCCTTGCGCCTGCCACGCAAAAACGACATCTGAACGTCCAAAAGTGCTCCGGACCCATCAGTTTTTTGCACTTTTGGCCTCGAAATGTGCTTCGCGCCACAACGCCGTGCACTTTTCCGACATCACAACGTCCAAAAGTGGTCCGAGCATGGTGTGCTTTGTGCATTTTGACTTCGAAATGTGCTTCGCGCCACAACCGCGTGAATTTTTTCCACATCGCAACTTCTACAAGTGCTCCGAACCTGGTGTGTTTTGTACATTTTGACTTGGAAATGTGCTTCGCGCCACAACGACGTTCACTTTTTCGACATCGCAACTTCTAAAAGCACTCCGAAGCTGAGGTGTTTTGTACCTTTTGACTTCGAAATGTGCTTCGCGCCACAACGGCGTGCACTTTTTCATTTCTCATCTGGCCAGATGGCTCCGCACCCGCCGCTTTAGCGAGCCTACTTTTCGACCCTCCGGAGATACTTTTCGCAAGCCTGGATCTTCTTTCTTCTGAGGCTTTTTCTTTTTTGATCTTCTTTCTTCTTCTCTTCTCTTCTCTTCTCTTCTCTTCTCTGACTGCCCATCTCTGCTTTTCATCTGTCCATATTGTCGGAAGTTTGACTTCTAAACTTCCCTGCGAAAATCTATCCCCGCCTGCACCGATATATCTTCCGCAATACACCTGCATATATTCGTTTGGTAGCTGTGTCAAAGGAGATTGATTCTGTGAATCTGCGTCTATGCATCTGCACCTAGACACCTTTCACTAAGATTGATGCCTGCATCTACGCCTGTGTATAAAATTTCCTTTGTGTAGATGTACTAAAGAGCATCATTTTGTATGTATTAAGGAGAGGATATTGATGATGAAGAAGAAGATGATGATCTTTTTTTTTAATTGACGATGATGACGATGATGATGTTGATGACGATCATGATGATGGCGATGATGATGGTGATGATGATGATGATACGGGAATGGTTGACGAAACAGAAAAAATGCTGATGATGATGAAGAAAAAGATGATGATGGATATGATGATGAAGAAGAAAATGATGATGATGACGATGATGGTGGTTGTTTGTACTGACGGTGTCAAATCATGCTGGCAGTTTTTTTTTGGAAAACCCTTTGCAGGTCCTTTCGGGAAATATCGGTGTCCTGTCCTCCTGGTGTCTTGGCGGTCTCTCAATTGTGTTTCGGTGGTCTGTGGCGTCTTGGTGGCACTTTGGGTGGTGTGTCCGTAAGTCTTGATGGTGTTAGGTGATGTTTTGGGTTTTGTTCATGTTTTCGTGGTGTTTTTTGGTATCTTGGTGGTGTTCCGGTGGTCTTTGGTGGTATCGAAGCGACGGCATTTTTAGAGCCAAAATGGCTCACCTGTCAATATTAGATTGGCGTCAATGGAGATGCGAAACTTTGCTATTGGGGTTGTATGCTGTGCTGATTGTTACATAATAGTCTAGTAAATATAATGATAGCTCAATAACAAATAAATAAATATATATATATATATTATATTATATATTATATTATCTATGTATTGATTATACACGTAGATGTATACTTAGACATGCTATTATCATTTTGTATCATATAATATTGTACAGTATATGTTTACTTCCAGTTCATGTTGCATTTCAAATCGAGACAGGTGAGCCCTATCTTGACTGATGCATCGGACATCCAGCAGTAGGTGGCATGAAGGTATCACAACATGACATGTGGAGAATCTCACACATGGTGTAGTGAGTGTAGTGTTCTCAGCGATTCCCACCATCAGGTCAGAAGCCGCGCGTTGCCATGGAGCCGGATGAGCCCCAAGCCGACGACGAGGTTCGGGCCAAATCGGGGTCATGCAGCGACATGCTCACGAATTTCTTTCAGAGAAACACGTACAACCTCTCACAGCACCTGGCAGGCGATGCCTTCTGCAGTTGTGACCTCAGAAGTGTCGGCAGATCCAGCAGAATCCAAGATGCGGATCTCATCTGTGGTTTCGGGACTAGGAGCACACAAAATTGCAAGGCTGAGAAAGGCACTCAAATCAATGGCTGAGAGCACTTTTCATGGCTCTTGGCACACCACCTTCAAGCACACCCCATTTGTGCATGGTTCAGAAAGGCACTAAGACGATCTAAGACGCAGAAGGTGTGAAATTACAAGAAAGCACGACATGTCAAAGTAGTGGCTGGGAGTAGAATTGGAAGGTGTGAGCCAGCAGAGCCCACCTGAAACGTGCCATTGCTTGGATCATGCAAATCATATGGTTGACACATGTTGACACTGGAATTTTGAAAATGCACATTGATCAATAATGCATACTTTCGAATCGAAAATCGATACCGGGCAGAGCAAGAAATCTTTCCTTCAAAAAAATGGAGGATGGAGCTCGTGATATCGTGATAAGATGGGATCCAACGGTTGGATCCAACATGGATCTCCCGTGGATCAAGCTGTCTGAGGCGCCGCGGCCAGGGCGATGCCATTTGCTGCTGAGTGGCCGGTTCAACAGTGAAAGGTTTCTGATCTGAGATTGGCATAGATTGATTGGCGACATTTTTGGATTTAGCTCCGAATATTGCTGTTGAATTTTGATCCTTACTTTTTCAATTGACACTTGGTTGCGTCCTCCTTGTCATGTGGACTTTTCTTGTCCGCCACTGAGGGTCAACAACTACATGAAAGCGGTGAAGAGGCGCTTGGAAGAGAGACGAATACCTGCATATATGGTGCAAGCTCAGGTCGGCCAAAGTTTCGCCGAGCTGGCGTGGATAGGATTGTCCCGTGCCAAAGGCATGGTGGCCTTCTGCACGTCGGACTACGGCGCCTATACTGGAGCTGGTTACGAAACCTTCCATGAATTGGAATATGCACACGACCACCAGTTGCAAATCTTTCCCATTAGGCTCTGCGAAGAGTGGCCACCAGCGCCGCAAGACAATCCAAGAGGCACTATTCAAAATAAACTCGTGTTCAAGAACGGCCTAGCGTTTATAGATGATCGGCAGATGAACAATGCCGAAGGCGCTGCCGACCAGATTGCGGATTCTGTTACCAGCAGTGGCATCTTATTCAATTAGGCAAAGTCAAAAAAAATCGAAGTACTGCTGCCGGATTCCACCCTCCGATGGTGCGATCCTTTGTGATTCCGGATAAAATTGGGTCAAGTAACAGGCAGATTATCCTAAACGAAGTGAGACATTCAAAACATCTAGAACATGGGGAAAAAGCTTTGCAACTGAGCACGCGCCGAGTCGCAAAACCTTCGGACGTTTGCTTCAGGGAGTGACAGGCCGTAGGTATTTGTTGCGACATGGACATGGCGTGGGAGAAATACAGTTATTTGAAGGTGATTCATGTGCACATTATACCAGAGGTTCGAATTCCCGTAGTTCTCGGCTCAGCTTACACTTGTTTTCACCCAAAGTTCATTGATTTTCGACATCACACCATGACTAACCTAGATTATGAATCTTAAACATCCCGTCGGGGGGAAAACCGCGCCAGCGGTTGTGAGCGTTTTGAAAAAAATGTCGTTTTTGCCATAGCGAAACTATTGATTCATTCCACAAAATAGGCTCAAAATTCCCCGGGAATTTGAAGTGCATTTTTGTTGATGTCCTGTAATTTACAGGGAATTTGCTCTTGAAAACACGCGCGATGTTTTCCTCCTCTCACATCGCCATGCGCATCTTCAAAGAGCGGCCAGTGACCTCCAAAAGGTTTTGTGATTTGGAGTTCATCCAACGCCATTGCCACACCCTGATGCTTCGCATCAGTTTTGGGTTCACATAGCTGTTGACTCTGGTCGCAAGACTACATGGTATGGCCGATTTTATGAAACATAGCACCCTGATTGTATGAAAAGCAAATCACAACATGAAGCTTAGTGTCGACAGGTTACAAGGTCTTGTTCCTGTTTTACATCTGCATCAACATCTGTGCGCATCCTACAATTATGATGCCATCAAGGGGAAACCCAGACGTGACGTAGCATGTGCATGTGACGCGAGTTAACATGAACGTTAACATAACACACCCCACCCCCCAACCCAAGACGTGACGTAGCATGTGCATGTGATGCAAGTTAACATGAACGTTAACACACCCCACCCCCCAACCCAAGACGTGACGTAGCATGTGCATGTGACGCATGTTAGCATGAACGTTAATACACCCCATCCCCCCGACCCAGTAACATATGCGTGTTTTCAAAAACGTGCACGACTACTGGCGCGGTTTCCCCCCCGCTGGCATAAACATGCTGGTGAATCTGGATTGCAGACCTTGCTTGTTGCTTACCCTTGGCGAAAAATGGTTCTTATGCCGTTCCAGAGCCTGTCCTGGTTTGAAATCAATGGATTGCCAGACCTCCAGAGTTTCAACAGGTGATCCACTTGGAACCAGAAGTTTTCATGTTTTCACCACATTTCTTGCGGAGTTTCACCATCCTTGCGGAAATTCCCCTAGGGAATTCCACCTTCATGGCAAAGGATGGCCCAGATACCTCGGCAGGGCGTCCCAGATGTGAGACCTCCAACTTCGGAATCCACGCTGTTCTGACGTTGGAAACTGATATGGTGAAAGCATGTGAAAACAACAAATTTGTTGGGATCAAGTCAGGGATTATTTCACCGGTTTCCTTGACGAATCGTGTCCATTACCATTGCTTACGCATGTCCCGAGCATTTGTTTCAACCTCTTGCAGGTTTTCACCGATTGACCTAGGTTTGTCTAATCATCCAATTGACACTGCATCAAAAACGCTGTGGTCACAGAAGGATTGCCTCGCAAGTTCAAGTATATCATGTTCTATCGTGTATAGGATTCGTTTCCACTTTTTCATGGATGTGTTTGTGGATGTCCAGCTGGGTCGTTTCAGTTTCTCACAGGTTTTGTTTTTAGTAGTTGGTTGGTCTAAGTTGTGTTTCCAAGTTAACACTCCATATCGTTGACATCCACGCCAAGCCAAGAAGCGGCAAATCTGAAACCGCCAGTGAGGGCCAAGGCTGTTGATGCACCTTAGGGATGTCCCAAAAAACAGGGAGGCATCCCAATCCCTATATTCTTGTGTTTCCCAACAAAGGCAACAAAATGGTCCGTGGTGGATTCTTGTTGGGCCCTGAAGCGAAACACCCAACTTCCGAAGCTCGTGTCTAGCGCACCAGGCAGAGCATGCTGGTGTTGAAGCCATCTTCCAGCGATTGGATCAGCTGTCAGGTTGCGATGGGCCCGTGGGTTGGTGTCGTTGGTGTGATGACTCGGTTGTGAACCGGTCTCAGGAAGTGGAATGGTCGGGAAGGAGGAGCTGCTGTCCATCCTCTCTGGTCTTGGCGTTTCTGATCAAGAGCTGCCTGGCACAGTTTGCCTTGCATGTTATGCCATTTATAGGCAGAAACGGATCACAAAAATTCACAAAACGTCCCCACTCATCTGCCAGAAATTTCCATGTTTCGTCCGCCAAGGGTAGCCGTCCTTCAAAACACAGATGCATCAGCTTCAGGTCGTCGCTGCTTCCGGGTCTCTGAATCCTTCTAGAAGTCTGGAACTAAAATCCAGCTGAGTCGTAGACACCTTTCAGCCCGTGCCGGTTCCTTCACAGGTTGCAGATATGGTGCGATGTCGTTTTTCTTGTGTGTGTTTCTGTTGTACTCGCATCTGCCCTCAGTGCCATTTCTGAGCTTAAGCAACCCCTATTCAGTTCTGGGCCGACAGCAGCATGACACTTGGCCATATAAGCTAGCAGCTAGCAGATTTCCATGTGTAAAGGAATCAGGATTTTTCTCGCGCTCTCACATTCTTGACTGTTGCCCACCCAGCTCATATCTTGCCCATATCTCATACCTTTCAATTCTTGCCCCATGATGTCGGCCATGCAAGCTGGCAGACTTGGGGATTTTTTCGGATCCTTTATGCACTTTGAGAGTGTAACCCATGCACTCAAACATCTGGGTGTATCCGCCCCCAGGGATGTTTACACCATGCCGAGGAATTGGGTCTTGCTGGCAACCGCGGCAGTGGTGCAATCGCACGAGTTTGGCACGAAGCTTCCGGCGAACTTCATTAACTTCTACGAGCCATTGTATGGCAAAGATCCCCGTGTGAGCCTTGGACCGGTTTAGGATGTTTAGGAAAAGGGCTCGCTGCTTCTGGATGCACTTTCAATGGTTTTGCTCTTGTAGGAAGGAGGTCACTGTTTCTGGATGCTTCTTCTATATGTCTATATCCATGTATTCAGTCTACTTTGCAAATCGTTACATTGGATACGCCATGAACATTGGGTCACAACGACTGGATCCAGTGCTGATCCAGGAGCCAAGAAGAGCTGGCTGCGGACTTGAAGCACTTGAAGGATGGGGCTGAAAATGGCTTCATGCTGGCAATGCCCCGCTCGTTGGGCAGGCTCGGGTTGACTCACAAATCCCTGCTTGATGGTGGATCATTCTTGGATCTTCCAGGTGTTCCAGGCTGGATCCAGCATGCTGCGCAGCCATTCATGACACAGCTGCGGGAGTTCATGCAGCTTCTGGACTGGGACAAGCAGCATGAGGAGAGTCAAGAGGACAGTTGGAGACGCGTGGAAGAGCTTCGCAGGAGTGGCAAGATGAATCAGGAGTCCATTCAGGCTGATCTGTCACGGCTGGAGAAAGAGAAGGAGGAGTTGGATAAAGAGCATGAGCAGCTCAAAGAAAATTTGAAGGAGAGCCGGCAGAAAGAGGCTGACCTAAAAGCGGCCCGCGGACGTCTAGAGGAGACAGAGCGAGAAGAACGAGAGGCACGCAAGAAACTGGAAGCCGAACGCAGACGTTTGGAGGAGACAGAGAGGCAAGAACGAGAGGCACGTGGAAGGCTGGAAGCCGAACGCAGACGTTTGGAGGAGAAAGCACGGCAAGAAAGAGAGGCACGCGAGAGGCTGGAAGCAGAGCGGCGCCGCAGTTGGTCCTTCTCTGCGCGGGGAGATCCCATCATTTGTCCTGAAAATGGAAATGGTGAAATTGTCCACGACCTATGCGTTGAATACAAAGGGCCTGCCACAGTGATGTGTTTTGACCGCCTCGGCAAGTTGCAAAGCCTTGACTTTGTGGGTGTTTGCGACGAGGACGGACAGAACTGTCAGTCGCCAGATGCAATTTGGGTCGGGGAACAGTGGCGCTTCGATGTCTCAAGTCGTCAATTTCTCTACCGCAATGTGGCTGGGCAAAAGATTGCTGATGTCTCTTGTGGTGGCAATTGGAAGCTGAGCTGGTTGAGATGGGAAGACCATTTATTTTCTTGAGCATTCTGTCAGAATGACAGATAATTTGATTATGTTTGTCTATACTAGAGTCAAAACCATTATTGAAAATTAAATCATGCATTATATCCATCAGCTATTATTTCTTTATTTTCTTGTTTTTTCAAGGCGTAAGTTTACCTTGAAAGTCAAGTCCACGATCATCCAAGGACATCCGAAGCTCCTCCTTCCAGCACTCCTGATCCCAAGTGGCTTGACGCCTTCAACGGTGGTCGCAGCTTCATTCTCCACGCACGACAGCCTCGCATCACAGATGGTCCATCCTTTGACTTCGTTTGGCGTGCCTTGATGGACCAGCGGGACTGGGATTTCGATTCCGACCACATCGGCCAGTGGATCAATGCAATGCTCATGGCACATGGTTTTGCCAAAGAAGTTGGCTTTGTGCACGAAACCGTGCCATTGATGGCGCAGTATGCCGTGTTCTATGGCTTGGTCGCAAGCCGCAAATAGATTTTAAGCTGTGGCGATTCGTCCCCTTGCGTTGATGAATGTTGACAGCAAGTGAACATCCCATCAGCTCAACATGACATATTTCGCATGACCCTTTACCAAGATGTAGCTGAATGCAGTAGTTTGGACAATGAACACATAACCCTCTGGTAAACTAACATAGCTGTTGAAAATCACCATTTTTAGTGGGTAAATCAACTATTTCAATGGCCATTTTCAATAGCTATGTTAAATTACCAGAGGGTAAATATGTTGTAGTGAGAGACGCTGCGGGGGAAGACACAGACCTATCGCCCAGGGGGCACTTCACACAGGAGGTTGCACCCATCTTTT